GTTTCTGGAAGTTGTCTGCTATTTCTGGTTTGCTAAGAGTTTTGATCATGAATGGATTTGGAATTGAAAAATATTTGCTCTGAAGTATGATACTCATCTTATCCTTCCTTTGCTTTGCTAATTGCATAAATTACATAGTTTGACTTTTGTATATAATCTTAATTTGCATTCCTGCAATAAACCTTGACTCATTTATGTTGTTATGCCTTTAAAATGTTGGATCTGATTTACTCATATTTTGTTTGGGATTTTTTGCATTCATGTTTATGAGATTGGCCTGTAATTTCCCTTTTTTGTAATGTTCTTGTCAGGTTTTGATATCAGAGTAATATTGGCCTCAAAAAACAAGTTGCAAAGTATGTCTCTTTTTTCTGTTTTCCACAAGAGTTTGTAGGAGATTGGCATTATTTCTTCCATAAATGTTTGGTGGAATTTACTGGTGAAGTCAAGTGGACCTGGTGTTCTTTGTAGAACAGTTTCCGATTATGACTTCTATAATAGTTATAGGACTATTTAAATTATTTCTTCCTATGTCAATTTTGATAGTTATTAGGAATTTTGTCCATTTAATCTTCAAATTCAGAGTTATTGTCATCAAATTGTTCATAATATACCCATTTAATCTTGTTAATGTCTGCAAGATCTGTAGTGATATCCTTTATCATTTCTTTTTTTTTTTTTTTTTGAGGAAGATTAGCCCTGAGCCAACTGCTGCCAATCCTCCTCTTTTTGCTGAGGAAGGCTGACCCTGAGCTAACATCCGTGCCCATCTTCCTCTGCTTTATCTGTGGGACACCTGCCACAGCATGGCTTGCCAAGCGGTGCCGTGTCCACACCCGGGATCGAACCAGCCACCGAAGCAGAACGTGTGCACTTAACTGCTGCACCTCTGGGCTGGCCTCTCCTTTCTAATTTCTGATATTGCTTCTTTTACAGGTAAAAAGTTACTCTTACTTTTTCTCTTGAATATTCTCACGAGAGGGTTTTTTTAAAAAGATAATTTTATTAATATTTTCTTTTTATTATTATCTTTTTTTGGTGAAGAAGATTGGCCCTGAGCTGACCTCTGTGCCAATCTCCCTCCATTTTGCTAGTGGGGTGCTGCCTCAGCATGGCTTGATGAGCGGTGTCCACACCCAGGATCTGAACCTTTGAACCCTGGGTTGCTGAAGCGGAGTGCACGAACTTAACCAATATTCCACCAGGCCAGCTCCTTAAGAGTATTTTCTAAGAACTAACTTTTCAAGTTTTGAGTTTAGCATTTTCATAATCGTTTAGTTTGAATTACTTTCTTATTTCCATTCTGATTTTTTTCTCTGACTGATGGGCACATCAGAAAAGTATTTCTTTCATTTGTTCTTTTTTTTTTTTTTTTTTGGTGAGGAAGATTGGCCCTGAGCTAAGATCTGTGCCAGTCTGCCTTTATTTTGTATGTGGGATGCCACCATAGCATGGCTTGATGAGCAGCATGTAGGTCTGCACCTGGGATCCGAACCTGCAAACCCTGAGTTGCTGAAGTGGAGAGCACAAACTTAACCAGTATACCATGAGGCCAGCCCCCAGAAAAGTATTTCTTAATTTCCAAACACAGGGGGATTTTCTATATGTATCTTTTTGTTATTGATTTGTAGCTTAAATTGCATTGAGATGAGAGAACATATTTAAATTCTTTGAAACTTGTTGATTTCCTTTATGGTTCAGCAATAGTTAATTTTTGAACATGTTGTATGTGTGCTTAAAAAGAATGTATATTCAGAAGGTTTTTGGTTTAATTAAAAATAGTACTTTCATTAGGACAAGTTTATTAATCATGATAGTCAAATCTTCTATATTCTAGGGCCAGCCCAGTGGTTAAGTTCACATGTTCTGCTTCGGCAGCCTGGGGTTCGCCAGTTCAGATCCCGGGTGCAGACATGGCACTGCTTGTCAAGCCATGCTGTGGCAGGCATCCCACAGATAAAGCAGAGGAAGATGGGCACGGATGTTAGCTCAGGGCCAGTCTTCCTCAGCAAAAAGAGGAGGATTGGCAGCAGATGTTAGCTCTGGGCTAATCTTCCTCAAAGAAAAAAAAAATTATAAAAATCCCTTCTATATTCTTATTGATTCTTTTGTCTCTTCTATCAATTAATGAAGTATATTAATTCTTCCAGTATGATTGTCTATTTCTCCTTGTATTTTGTTAGTTTTTATTTTCTGAGGCTGTTATAAGGGCATGCTACTTTACAATTGTTTTATCTTTCTGATGAATTGAACTTCACCAATAAATAAAATATTCCTTCTTCTCTAGTAATGCTGTTCTACCTTAATGTTTACTGTACTTTGATAGTCACATAGATGAACCAGCTTTCTTTTGGTTAGTGTTTGCATAGTATATCTTTCTTGACTTTATCCTTGCAACTTTAGATTTCTCTTGAAGGCAGCATACACCAGAAGCAAACAGCAAGATGGGATCATACATGCAAGTGCTTTATCAGACAAATAGCTGTGAGGGAATATTGGGGCGAAACCAGAGGAGGCTGGGAGAGCCATCAGACCACGATGAGGGTATGAACCCTTCGAGGAGTAGAGGGAAAGAAGACGTCTGACTGCAGTTTTTTTTTTCTTCTTCTGAGAAGATTTCCCCTGAGCTGACATCTGTTGCCAATCTTCCTCTTTTGTTTTTCCTCCCCAAAGCCCCAGTCCATAGTTGTATATTCTAGTTGTAAGTCCTTCTAGTTCTTCTATGTGAGACACCACCACAGCACGGCAACTGACAGACAGGTGGTGTGGTTCGGCGACTGGGAACCGAATCTGGGATGCTGAAGCAGTGAGAGTGCTAACTTTTAAGTACTAGGCCATCAGGGCTGGCTCTGTAGGTTTTATTTTAAACACCCTTATTGAGGTATCATTCATATCCATTTACAACCATTTTAAGTGTACAGTGATTTTGTCAATATACACAGTTATGCAATCATTACCACAATTCAGTTTTAAAGATTTTATTATTTTATTTTTTTTAAAGATTTTATTTTTCCCTTTTCTCCCCAAAGTCCCCCTGTACATAGTTGCATATTTTTAGTTGTGGGTCTTTCTAGTTGTGGCATGTGGGACGCTGCCCCCGCATGGCTTGATGAGTGGTGCCATGTCCACGCCCAGGATCCGAACCAGCGAAACCCTGAGCCGCTGAAGCAGAGTGTGCGAACTTAACCACTTGGCCATGGAGCCAGCCCCCCAGAGTTCAATTTTAAAACGTTTAGATCATCTCCAAAAGATTCTTCCTGTGTGATTACAGTTAAACCCTATTGCTACCCCCTAACACTAGGCAGTCACTAATCTACTCTTGCCTGTATAGACTTGCCATTTCTGGACATGATCATACAGTATGTGTTCTTTTGTGTCTGGAGTCTTAGCATAAGGATTCTGAGGTTCCCCATGTTGTAGCATGTATTAGTATTTTGTTCCCTTTTGGTTATCCATTTACAAGTTGATGGATATTTGGATTATTTCCACTTTTTAGTTATGAATGATGTTGCTATGAACAGTCTCATGCTGCTTGCACACAAGCCCATGTGGACTTGGTCTCATTTCACCAGGGTCGACACCTTGTGGTGCAATTGCTGGGTCATGTGATAACTCGGTTTAACATTCTGAGGAACTGCCAAACTGTTTTTCCAAAGTGGAAACATTTTGGAAAATTTCTATGTCCATTTTCCATTTCCATTAGCCATGTGTGAAGATTCCTGTTTCTCCACATCCTCCCCAACGCTGGTTGTCTTCTTTTTGACTTTTAGCCATTCTAGTACGTGTGAAGTGGTATCTTATTGTAGTTTTGATTTGCATTTTCCTGATCACTAGTGATGTTGAGCATCTTTTCATCATCTTATCAGCCATTTATATGTCTTCTTTAGAGAAATGTCTATTCAAATTGTTTACCTATTTTTAAATTGTTTATCTTCTTATTAACGACTAATAGGAGTTCTTTATATATTCTGGATACAAGTCCTTTATCAGACATATGATTTACGGATATTTTTTCCCAGTCTATGGCTTGTCTTTTTCATTTTCTTAATGGTCTCTTTTGTAGAGTAAATTTTAAGTTTGGATGAAGTCCAATTTATCATGTTTTTCTTGTATGGATCACATCTTTGGTGTCATATATTAAGAAATCTGGGGCTGGCCCCGTGGCTGAGTGGTTAAGTTCTCGCACTCTGCTTTGGCGGCCCAGGGTTTCACCGGTTTGCATCCTGGGCGCAGACATGGCACCACTCATCCAGCCATGCTGAGGTGGCGTCCCTCATGCCACAACTGGAAGGACCCACAAGTAAAAATATACAACTATGTACCGGGGGGGATTTGGGGAGATAAACCGGGGGGGAAAAAAAAAGATTGGCAACAGCTAGCTCAGGTGCCAATCTTTAAAAAAAAAAGAAAAACAGAGGACTGGATAGGGTAGATTATGATAGAGTGTTTGGAAAAAAATTAAGAATCCATATTTAGCAAATTACAAAAGTAATTAGGTAATTCTTTAGTAAGGACTTTGTATATATTGATGGTGTAGTCATACAACTTACTATTCCATATTCAGTTAAGAGAATGAGGCACACTGATTATATGAGTTTAGCCTTCCAAAGCTGGAAGCCAATTTCCCAGCCTCATTTGCAGCCAAGGATCAGGTTTGCCAATTAGATGCAGGTCCTGGCCAGTGAACACCTTCTGGTAAGCAGCATCTTGCTGTTTTTGGGAGGCAGCAGCACTGGAGTTTCTGGGATCTAGCTGCTGCTGTCATTAGCATAGGTTGCAGTGTTGATGTTTATAAGTGGCACTGGTGCCATTATCATAGCACCTCTCCCCCCTGTTGTGGTCAGGATTTGTCTGTGGCTGCTGAGCTTCTGAGACTGTCCCTCTTAAAGGTTCTGTGTGCTACTTAATTCCTTTTCTTTTTAAATTACTTAGAGCAGGCACTCAATTGACAAGAAAGAATCCTGATAGATACAATTTCCAAGATATGTGGAAACACCAAGTATAGAATAGTACACTTTTATTTTAAAAACATGCTTATTTTTTGTATAGAATTTTGTCTCTGGAATTTGGAACAGAAGTTGCCTCTAGAAAAGGGAGCTGAGAGTAAGGAAAGGACCTGATTTTCCATGACATATGTTTATGTATAATTTGAACTTTTAAACATATACATGGCACAAATAATTGGAAAAAAGGCATAGTGAAGCCACTGAATGACATCAACTAAGGGAACTGTGTGATAGGTTGTGTTTAGAAAGCTCACTAGGCAGTCCTGTGAAAGATGGACTGGAGGGAGGAGCCAAGAATGGGTGGGGGCAGAGAAACAAACTAGCAAATGATTACAGTAACTCAAACAAGAAGAGGCGCGGTTACGATGGCACTGGAAGTGAGGATGAAGAGGAGGAAAGTCTGAGCTATTGAAAAGATAAATCTAAAGGCTTGACTAACCATATGGGGAGGTGTATCAATCAGAGTTCAATCAGAGAAGCAGAACCATATTAAGAGCGACTGTTAAATGGGTTCAAGCGTTCCACTTTGGGAGCTGGTTAAGCTGTCTCTGTAAGGCTGTTGTCTGAGTCTGATGCTAGAACACAGTCCAGCTAAACTGACTGGGGATTGGGTCAGGGGCGGAAGTTCTATTTCTGATAAGGAATCCTCGAGGAGGCGATTTAGGGGTAGAGGAAGCTGGCTCTCTAGAGAGGAAGCAGATATACATTCACAGACTGTCTCCTTCACAGTAATTTTCCAAATAAAGCATTATAAAATCCAAGTTACAAATGGTAACTACCTACTGTTTAATGGGTACCTACTATGTGTGAGGTACTTTACGTCTATTATGTGATTTAATTCTCACAAAACCCCTGAAAGTTGGACATTATCATCACCATTAGATAAGGTGAAATAGAGATAAAGTGAAATTAAAGAAGGAAATAGGCTGAGAGACCCTAAGACAGAAAGCTAATAAAGTGGCAGATCTGGGAATCCAACTTCTGACTCGACACCAACAACGTGGGTACAGTGAGAGAGTTTAACTCTACTGGAATTGGGTTGAGTCACTATTTTCTCAAATCTCCCAAAGATGGTACACAGATAGTACTACTCTACATGCATCAAAGATAAGTTCATTCATGACATACACTGTACGCTGTAGGGGTTTAGTACTTAATTCTTCAGGAACCTGTAGAAGGGGCTATACCATACAAAGCTGCCAGGCTCGGCCGGCGTGTCAGTGAGGTTCTCAGCTGCTATCAATAAAATTATAAATAGGAAGTGAATGGTCTGTGTCTCAGGGGAGAAGTTAAGCTGTGAATCTCAATCTCCTGAATTGAATAAAGTTTGGAAAACACAACTACTGGAAATTTCGGTAGAATTTAGTCTCTTCAGACCCCCAAGGAGCAGAATGCCAGAGAAATTCAATGTGGCCAGTGTGAAGGCTCTTTCCATCTTATATATCTAACACAAAACTTTAAGAAAGATAATTTAATTTTTAAGGAAAAGATCCATGATTATTTAAAAATGTGAAAACCACATCTAATAAACTGATAATAGTTTCAGGAACAAGAGGATGTCTTCGTGCCATTACAGTCACTTCATAAGGAAGCATTTCAATGAAGGCTGGGAGCTGGCTGCAGTGCTGTCCGGGCCCGTGACGAGGGGCACGGCTGCTCTTCCTGTGTACTGTGGCACTGTCCCATCTTTTTGGGCCTGGGTCTCTTAAAGGATATGTCCGTCGTCTTGCACACGTGACCATGGCTTAGAGGTAGGCACAGAGCCGCTCCAGCTGCCCAGGATTCGTATTACTTAGGAATAGTAGCTCCTTTTTCCCATCTTCCGTATGAGCTAAAAAGGAGTCAAAGACAGACAATTGGCAGTTTTTCCCTGCAGCATGGTGTTACCCAGAACGTTCTGTAGACAGAGGCTACATTATCCACATTACATTCTGATGTAATTAGCACTCCCAAGAGACCTCACTTTTACATCCTTTATCCCAATAAACTATTATTAATTTTTCTATGGATAATTTCCTTTACTGTCTCTATTCCTCCAATCCAGCATCTTTCTCTCCCTCTGTTCCAAGAATATCTTCTTGAATTTAGGACTTTGTCAAATCTTCCAGCCCCCTTAGGAATCTCCCCCCTGTGCCTCCCAGCCCACCATGCTGCAGCTGCTTTACACTCTGCCCTCCAGGCCAATATTAACTTATTCCAATGGCAGTTAATTCTCTATTACCTAGTGATAGTGTAGTCTTACTGTTCCTCTGCATGCCCCCTAGCCTCCCCACCCCCGGTCAAAGTAAGGGTAAAATCAACAGCTGGAATGCCTTCATATACAGATACTAGGACAGGTATAGCAAGGATTTGGTTTGGTGCTGGGGTAGACTCTCACACAGTATCAATTATTCTGTGTCCTAGCACATTAGTCTCTCAACCAAAGTTTGTTGAATGATGAATAAGTGCAACGATGCTAGACTATGACAGCAACCCAAACATCTGGAAACTGCCCAGTGGCTGGGCTTAGCCTGGCCTCCTCTTTTAGCATGAGTATCTTATTCTAGAGTAATATGAGAATTCAGGGAGAGTTACAACGTTTTTTGTAAATTAAACCTTAACCACCCCCCATCCCTACACCTTTCTGTACCATCTAATCAGCCAGAAAGAAGTCAAGATAAAAAGAAAAAAGATGAAATACAAATTACTGGCTTCTGCTGAGGGAAGAAGAAATGAAGGCTCTGACTCAGTGGGACTCTTCTGTGAGCACAAAGCCCTGATAGGAAAAAATTAAACAACTGACCTTTCTCATGTTGAAGCCAATTGTTCTCCAAATAATACTGAATACAACTTTCAAATTCCTTTGGGTTATAGTTGGAAACCAGGATGGGAATAAAGGGATCCAGGGTATCAAATCCTTCCTGGAGAAGAAAAACAATAGAGTATTTGTTAAGCGACAAATCAGCAGAGAGATCAATGTTATTTCAACTTTTTTTTTTTTTGAGGAAGATTAGCCCTGAGCTAACATCTGCCGCCAATCCTCCTCTTTTTGCTGAGGAAGACTGGCCCTGAGCTAACATCTGTGCCCATATTCCTCTACTTTATATGTGGGACGCCTACCACAGCATGGCTTGTCAAGTGGTACCATGTCTGCACCTGGGATCCGAACTGGCGAACCCCAGGCTGCCAAAGCAGAACGTGCTCACTTAACCTCTGCGCAACCAGCCGGCCCTATCTCAACATTTTGATGGCAAGGTCTTCACTTTTTTTCTATTCTACTCTACTTTTCACTCTCCAGCTACCCTGCCTTGTAAGTACAGGGCTCTGCACAGAGCAGCTGGCTACTGTTGCTCTCTATGGCCACAAACATTATATTTAAAAAAGAAATAATTCTTGAGGGGAGGATGCCACTTATCTGAATGTGTACATACATATATATATTCTGATTTTTCTTACGGTTCTGACTTCCACAGTCAACAACAGTTCCGACAGTTCATATACTCAAAAACAGAAAATAAATAAAATTAACAAGGATGGGGGAAAAGGCCCTAAATGGAACACAAACTGAAACAATTGAATCAATCAAACTGTATTTCAAATTCCAAACATAACAGTGAAGGGAGGGGGAAACTAACCCAAGTTAACTTGTGAATGGAGTATCTGGACTAGAGAGCCTTAGGCTAAAGACGAAAACTAAACAGATACTACGCTGTCGTTCACGGTTCTTTTTTATAGAGTGAAGGGTTAGCAATTCTGAAACTACTTCTGCTGTAATCTAAGATTGAGCTAATAAGTAAATATAGCGTGGATAATAGGCAGATTTCTTATTGTTGGAGATGAGGGTTACAAATATGGAAAGGGGGAAGGATATAATGAATACTGTGATGCTAGCCTTGAAGTGGAAGTATCAGTATGAACTCATAGTTTTTTAATATAAATAGAGAAACAGATATAGATGTGTATGGACGTATATATATAAACATATATGCATACAGTACATATACATATACATGCGCATACACGCAGGCATGCATGTATGAGTATCACATACATCTATTTACTGACTCTGCTCGAGGGCCTAGAAGAAGTGGCACCCTAGCAGCAATGAGTCCACCTACACTCAGCTCTTGGTTTCTAAATACCACTATCCTCTAAATGAACCAAGGCTCCTTGGAGAAATGGCTGATTCTAGGACTGGGGCGTGCAAAGTACAAGTTGAGTCTGGAACATGCTGTTGTGCCAAAATTAAGAAGTGCTTAAAGAATGATGGGGACATGTTAAAAGGACACAGAAGCCAGCTTGAAGGGGCTCCTACTAGCCAAATCTGGGATAATTTAAATACCAAAATAAATAATGATAGTAAAGGTTTGGAACCCATTAAATAAGAATCCACATGTCTACGCCAAAACAAATCAATACATAAGGGATAAAGGAAAGTTCTTGCATATAATAGAAAGCCAACTGATATATTTAGAAGAAATGATGGAGCGAGGAAATACCCATTTTACAATTATCATAATAACTGATTTAGAATAACTGAATAACCAATGGATACTAAAACTAATAATGGTAAGTTTGAGGAGTAACAGGATATTTACCTAGTCTCAAAGTATATCTCCATAAGATACTTACTCCTTACAAAAGGAAAATAGTAACTTTACTGAGAAGATAACAGGTGGACCCCACCTGAACTAAGTGTTCCAAGTTAACACTGTCAGTAATCGGAGAAATAGGTTTTCTGTGCCTCCTGATATTATGCACTGAGAAGATACAACATCACTTCTAACATCATATATAATTAGGAAAAAAATGAGACAACTCCATACAATAATCCATAAGATAGCTGGCATGTACTCTTCAAAAATAGAAATACAAAAGTTATAAAAGACAAGGACTGAGGAAGGGTCCAGATTAAAGGAGACTGAGGAGACATGACAAATGAATGCAATGCATTATCCAGGACTTTCTTTTTCTGTAAAGGATATTGGGATACCTGGAAAAATAAGAATAAGGTTCATAGATTAGGTAACAGTATTATATTGATGTCAATATCCTGATAATTGTGTTGTGGTGATATGTTAGAATATCTCTGATTTTAGGAAATAGACATTTTTAAGAGAAAAACAGGCATCATGTCTCAGGTTACTGTCACATAATTCAGGAAAAAAGATGGAGAGCGAGAGAAAAATAAAGCAAATATGGTGGGCCGGCCTGGTGGCGCAGCGGTTAAGTGCGCACGTTCCGCTTCGGCGGCCCAGGGTTCCCTGGTTCAGATCCCAGGTGCAGACATGGCACCACTTGACAAGCCATGCTGTGACAGGTGTCCCACGTATAAAGAGGAGGAAGATGTGCACGGATGTTAGCTCAGGGCCAGTCTTCCTCAGGAAAAAGAGGAGGATTGGCAGATGTTAGTTCATGGCTAACCTTCTTGGGGTGGGGGGAAAGAAAGAAAGCAAATATGGTAAAGTCTTAACGTTTTAGGAATCTGGGTGAAGTCATACAGAAATACTATTTTTCTCAAAATCTGAAATTATGTCAAAAAAAAAGAAAAAGTCTCTCTTTAGACAAAATGACTAAGGGGAAACCAATTTTCCAATGATCTGACCTTTCCCAGCAACTCCTGGGGCAGAAAGGCTTTCCGAGGCTTAAAGACAGATCCAGTCTGGCTCAAAGTCAACACAATGGCGCCTCCGTGCTGAAATGAGGAAAAGCCAAATTAGAAAAAGCTGAAAAAGATAGAAGAATGTATTTTGATCATCTGTAGATTTTTTTTTGCCATGCACTGGTATGGCGGTGTGGCCTAGCACAGTTAAATGTCAACTGCGTTGGTTATTACTTCTAGATTTGGCTCTGACAATAAATTGCTACGTGATCTAAAATTTATGAAAATCTTTTCCAAAGTTGATAAGAAGATATAAAAACACTTTGAACAATTGCAGGTAAAATAAAATTATGCCAAAATTTAAATAAAATGGTTTTGAATATGCTTACTGCAGTCAAATGGAAAGATGAGAAACCAAATACATAGATTTTCATCTTGGTACAGTTATGGGAATTAAATAAGATATAAGAACTTTCTGTCCCTAAAATTAGGGGCTGGAAAGTATTAGCAAGGTGCTGAAGGTCTTTAAAATGAAAATCCATTTCCTTCTGAAATATGTTAGGCATACGCACTCACCCAATCATTCTTCACCATTTTCCTCAGGTTGTAGATGAGCGCTAGTTCCTCTGGGGCAATCTGCACGTCCGTCAGTGTGTACAACAGAGGAGAGAGGGCCGGGAGAGACAGGGACGGGGGAGAAGAGATCATTACTTGCTTTGCCTGGATGCTCCCCTGAGACAAATGAATTGACAACAACTGAAAAATCCTCAACTACTACTTAGTGCCTGAAGGTACAACCTCTGAGACAAGCTACCTAGTCACCGGCCCTGAAACTGCCATGCTTCTGCAGATTAAAAACAGTCACCCCGGGAGAAAACACCCACTGCCCCAAACCACCCCCTTCCTTGAAGCTTCTGATCTTTTCCATTCAGATCACATAGCCTCATTTTGAAAAGAAAACAGGAAGAAAAAATTGACAAAGAAAGAAAACGTAGCTTCATGCTCTTTTCAAAATACTCTCCCTTAGTTTTCAATGGATGGTGGAACTCGGCATCACCTTCTCCTTCTGATGCTATTTTCACTATACATCTTAATTCAAATACTCCTCCGGGAAGAAAATATATTGATTGAATGGTCTACAAGGCTACATCCTAGCCTACATACATGATGGTATCAGAAATCAGAGAAACCAGAATAGAGAAACTCAGTTTTCCTACTGGGCTTTTATCTTCTCTTTTCAGGGTGGTCCTTCCCCAGAGAGCATTGACTCCATCCACTGCCACCAGGAGGTGAAAAATACCCGAAGAACTTTGCCTCTTTAGCTCTTTGAGCACAATCCCAACTGCATCTGTGGCGTTCCTCACTCGCGTTATGCCCTGTAGGGAAAGAGAGACGGGGGCTTATAGTCCTAGCAGAGGCCTTCTCTGGTTATGACGCAGTACACATTCAGTGTCTTTTTTATACCTGTTCAACTACTTCTCCCAGAGGACTGCCTTTCTCAGTGCTTTCTCGCTTATTCCAGACATACTTCTCTTGAACTTTTATCTAAAAACAAACAAAATAAAAATCAAAAAAGGCTACTCAGCCTAAGGATGAACCCATCCCTAGCTGAGAAGGTAGGAGGCTAAGGTTGTTAGGAGCCATTTTTTAATCTATTTTTCAAGCTCTGTAAGAGACCTCAGTATGGAAGTGAAAGCTTTCTAGCCCCTTTATGCCCAGAGCTTAAAAAGAGAGTCTGACTAAAAAGGTCCAGGATGAGGCCTTGGCATCCGCATTTTTAACAAGCTCCTAGGTGATTCTGATTTATATCCAGAGTTGAAAACCCCTGGCCTAGAGAGCGTATCCAGGCACTGTTAAACAATTTTACCAATACAATTCTGGTTCCGAAAAAGATCTTATGTGGAGAAAATTATACAGTTGAAAATTTGTTTTAGAGGATTGGAGGCTGTGACCTTGGAAAAGTCAATGAATCAATCTGTTCTCCACTTTTGTACCCACAAGATGAGAATTATTGCTGCCTCATTATTTCACATGGATAAATGAGTTTCAGGTTGTGAGCTCTCTGTGAGTAAAATGTGCGGGGGAAAAAAACCCCAAATGGTACAGTTATTCCCAACTACAATACTAGTTCTCCATAGTTTACGGGTACTCAGGGCACAAAGATTAAAATCTATTTAAAGAATGTCCGTCACTAAACTTCTGGGAGTTTAGTCACCTGACTCAAGAAACGCTCATTTGCAGTTTTGAAATTCTTCAGCCAGATCGAAGCCTCTAAAGGTTGATCCAAACGCTGTTTGTTGTAGGTGGACTGTAGAAGATTCCGGCAGTTTTTCACCCAAAGATGTGCTAAAAGGGCACAAGAAAACAAACCAGGCAGGAACTGACTGTATTTAACTCAAAATACTCTAAGCCTTTTTAGGTTATAGGAAATGACTTTAGATTCTCATATATTTTTCTTAAAGCCCTCTTGCTTCAGAGGTTTACTTTTTTGTCTGGTCCATCTTAGAGTAAACATTATCATTACAATGAATACACAAGGCATACCAGGTGGATTAAAGGTCACTTCAGCTTCCTGGCAGTTTACAAAGATAGTTAGAAAATGTAGATGCACACAACATTGAACAAAACAAGGAGGGATATATGCAAAGTATGGGAGTTTAAATTTTTAAGATCCATGCTGACAACTCTAGAATGCTGAAAAACAGTACCATGTCAAAGGCTCTGTGGGTACTCAAAATTGTTGACTGATGATACTAAAGCCTGTGATGACCTCTAAGGTGGGAGTTTATGCTCTTGGGCATTACATATCAAAGTGGGGGCTGTTGGGCCAAAATCTTTCATTATTATCATCAAAAGCCTCCAGGAAGCTTTTAGCTGAATTTCCTCTTGTTGCGTTTACTTCACCTTGCAACCTGCTTGTCAGTAGTATGAAAAAATCATGATGAATTAGCTCAGACCACTCTGCACCTGGAGCAAAGGCCTTTCCCTTAGCCAGCAGAGCCCTGTCAGAAAATTAAAGCCACAACCTACCACAGTAACAGGATAACTAACCCTGACAGAGTGAAGATAGGAAGTCTTACCATCTGGAATATGCAGTATCAGCCAGTCCTGTTTTGCACAGAAATGAATAATATGGCAAAGACTGAGGGTTTTTCCTGTTCCCTTCTCCCCATCTAAAGCACTTGTTAAAGAAAACATCACCAGCAGGGACACTTCTGTCAACAAGTAGTGCTCTTGCATTTCTTCTTTTGCCTCATTTGAGGAAAGCGTTGGCTCAAGACAGCCCAGGCAGGCGGGAAAGGATACAGAGAACATATCGTACAGCTGGATGAGCAAAATTGGTATTTTTCAGGTAATGCAGAAGCTCTAGCGCTGGTTTCCTTACCATCAGGCAAGCTTCATTGAATGTCTTCACCTAACAAAATAGGGAAGGAGGAAGGAGAGGGTGGGGTGTGGGACTTCTAGACAGTTCTTAGTATATAGACTGAGCCTAATATAGCAACCAGAGCACCAAATTGCATATTTTTCATTTATTCAGATAGGAGAGGTTGGGTTGGTATTGAATTTGAAAATCTGTCCATATAATTGATCTAAAAACTGAAGCACATTATCCCACACCAAGTAACCTAACAGTGAGCTTTTGATTGTTTCTGTAAAAGCAGCACAGATATTACATCAGCTGGTTGAAATCCACAAATAATCCAGACATCTCATAACATAACTATGTATACCACTTAGGGCTGATGTCAATATTAAAAGCACGTAAAATGCTTAACAAAGTATCTGACACATGGTAAACACTGAATAAATATTAATTCCTTGAAATTTATTTTTAGCTAATTCTTACTACTATAACCATTTAGACTCTTCTCTAGAACTACACACATGGCAGCTCAGGGCAGGTGTGACCAACTGCCCCAGAGCTGTGAGGCTAGACACTACCAGCACACAGACACACCAGAGAATTGACACATAAAGTTCATTCCCTTTTTGCCTCTGGGAATACTTTGGTGGAAAAATTTGGGAAGCACTGATATGTGTAAAAGTGATTTGCAAATAAAATATTTAATCATGTCTACGGTAAGAATAAATATCTAACAAATACTATTTGCAAGCATATCAGATAAGGATTAAAATAATGTATTTTTTAAAGAAATCGTAAGCAAACAACTGGATTGGAGAAGGACTTGACAAGTTAGTGCAAACTCAATGGAAAGTGAAACCTTCAAAAACACGCTACAGATATTAAAACAGAAATGCCATATTAGGTAATATGACAGTACTAAAATACACAAACAATGGTAAGGGAGTTGGCCTTTACGTAAACGGAAATTATGGAAAGAATGTATGAGTAATTCTCTCCAAAACACTGGTGGTTAAGCCATTCTGAAAGCAACCTGAATGGTTAATTAAAGTTAGGCCCCCACAACCCTGAAGCTAGAGATTGTACTATGAATGTCTTGGAACAGTTTAAAGTGCCATTACAGATTATTTCTTCCGGTTGTGTCCTATTTCCAAACTTAACAAGATTCTTTTTTTTATTTTAAATTTTTGATTTTTCCTTCTTCTCCCCAACACCCCCCAGTACACAGCTGTATATTTTTAGTTGTGGGTCTTTCTAGTTGTGGCATGTGGGATGCTGCCTCAGCGTGGCTTGATGAGCGGTGTTAGGTCCACGCCCAGGATCCAAACTGGGAAACCCTGGGCTGCCCAAGCAGAGTGCGCGAACCTAACCACTCGGCCACGGGGCTGGCCCCCAACAAAATTCTTGATGACAAAGCTGTCTATGTCTAGAATTAGCTCCTTATTGGTGTCTCATTTAACTTCTTAAAATAAAGCATGGTGAAGAAATGACATCCTCTGGCTCTTGGGCTAAAAATCAGCTGCATGGTCAAGTTTGATATTTCGTTAAGAAAGAATAATTTCTGAGGCTGACAATAATTCAGCAGGAGTTAGTCAAAAGAACCAATTATACCAATGAAGTATGGTTACATTTAATCATGAATTCTTTCAATGGCTATAAAGCACCCAAGATTACACTCTTTGGGTTGAAGTTATGACCACAAAACTACATTTTCTGAAAATCTGTGAGACTGAAGAACAACAAAGATGCATCTAATCCAAATATCACTTCTATTTGGCTCAGGAATATATTATGATTTTGTTTTTCTACAGCACGTTAAGTATTTTTATGATATTTTGCTAAGGAAAATATTAAATTTATTTTTAAAAATTATTTGAATGCCAAAGTTTCTAGAAATCTGTTGATTAACACAAGGAAAATAGCAAGATATTGTTTGTTTCTTTAAGAATAGTTTGCCTGGCTCCAAAAAGGATTTAAAGAGGTTAACCGCAGATAAACACTGGCTTCAAGTAATTATAGTAACAGCACTATTTATAAAAGATAATCAATAGCTGAATTTACCTTTTTTTTTAGATTCAAATTTCATCTTTTATAGTTTTCTTCTCATTTAATCCCACCCCTCTGCTATTAACAGCTTGTGTTCTGGGCTCCCTCCCATTCTTTCCCCTGTTTTGAGCACCTGCATTACAAAGCGAGGAGGCAGGCCATGGGGGAATACAGCCTTCAGATCCTGGAGAGGTATGTTGTAGTGCTGACCCTCATGCTGCTCCCCATGCTTTGCCTATGAAACAAAAATGCAAACAGGTATAATGGGGTCACAGACAAAGGGGCAAAGACTTTGAACAAGTGGAAGGGGCCTGCTAGGCCATATTGAGGAAACATTCATCTCTCAGAGCTAGAAAAGATATCTTTCATTTCTTATCGCAGACAAAAAAATACTGGTTGTTGTCCCCAAATTCACAATGTGTATATAAAGCTGGTGTTGGCCTGAATGATGAAGCCAGTTGCTCAGCAACATAAACCCTAGATATGAAGGGAGCAAAGACAATTCTTGCCATCTGGATTCTTCTGTGCTGTGTATAGAGATGCTCCAGTCATGTGACAAGATCATCTGCACGCCCCTGTTCCCATAGAAACCCCAGAGGAACTGGCAGATAAAGGGACTACAATTACAGGGAAAGCTGAAAGACACTTCAATGACTTCATTCACTTAGTCTATTTCATTTTGTGCTTGTGAAAGTAGGTGAATGCTAGAGATGTAAATAAAACACACCCTGCTGAGATGGTGTTTTGGGTAATGAGTTATTTTTTTCCCTCCCACATGCACAGCATATGTTAAGATGGGGAGACTCAGAGGGTAGGGGTAGGGACAAAAAGAGAGAAAAAAGCTATTGGTTCCCTTCACATTTAAGCACAGACCACACAACTAATTTCATTTATGAGAGGCAGCAGTAATAATGCGGAAGGAGAAAAGAAATCAACATCTAGCCTAATGGGACCTGAAGTAGAAAATGCAACACTGGATACTGCTGGAATCCTGGCTTCTGCTGACAAACTTCACTTTAAATGCTGCTCTTCTCAATAAATCAAGTTAGTGCCCTCTCAAGACACTAGGAAATCCACTTAGAAAGGTAGAAAATAGTACCAGATTGGTTATCAGGAAAACTGGGTTCTGTACCTGCTCTGCTATGTGATGTCGGGCAAGTAAGTTGCTTTCTTTAGGCTTCTCCCTACCAGGGTTGGTAAACTATGGCTGGCTACCCGTTTCTGTAAATAAAGTTTTACGCAACACAGTCATAGCCATTTGTTTATGGCAGAGCTAAGTAGTTGTGACAGAGACCACTTTGGCTCCTAAGCCTAAAATATTTACTGTCTGGTCCTTTAAGGAAAAGTTTGCTGACCAATCATACAGAAAAGATCAATAATAACTGCTACATTTAACTTCTAAGGAATTGACTTAATACCTTAATTACTTAAGGTACTATGTACCTAATCTATGCCCAACAAATCCTTTGGCAGGAGGTCAGTTTAATAGTAGGGATTAAATCAGAGCAGATAGGGACTGACTTGCCTGAGTGTTTGATGTTACCACAGTATCAGGCAGGGAAGGGGAAGATGTGGGTTCCAGAATGCTGTCTCGTGTGTCTTGTCTGACTATATGTAAACCTGCTTAGCTTCTTTGGGTTTCAGTTTTCCTGATACGTAAAATGACAGCAACACAAATTATATGCCCTGAAAAAAATCCAAATATACATCAGCAACTCACCGGGTCACTCTCACTGGTGCGGGAAACAGCTCTGGGACTCTCAACTGGAACCTGATTATCCAGATGAGCAGCAAGGTTTTGGGGTGCCTGGCTCCCCGTGTGCAAAAAATGTCCAGCGTCCAACTAAAAAAAGAAACCACTTTAGTGTTCTGGAATTATCAGGTTTTTTATGCTTGCTACAACAATAAGGTTTTTCTTTTTTTAAAGATTGGCGTCTGAGCTAACAACTGCCAATCTACTTTTTTTCCTGCTTTTTTCCCCCAAATCACCCCAGTACATAGTTGTATATTTTAGTTGTGGGTCCTTCTAGTTGTGGTATGTGGGACACCACCTCGACATGGACCAATGAGCAGTGCCATGTCCACACCCAGGATCTGAACTGGCGAAACCCTGGGCTGCTGAAGCGGAGCATGCGAACCCAACCACTTGGCCACGGGGCCGGCCCCAACAATGAGGTTTTAAGCCATGTCTGCAACAGGGAAAAATGTCACTACCATACATTTTAGTTTTGTGTAAAACAAATCCTTGTTATTATTTATAATTCTCTAAGTCCAATCACATTATTCATATTCTGAATGTGTTGTGTTGCTGTGTCATGGCTCTGTTCCATATGGAAACAAACGATTCTGTTAGAGATTGTTCTGGAGCAGAGCATAGCTATTAACAACCTAAAGCAGGAGACTCCGTTTAATGCTCGTGCCCACAGTAATGAATGGTGGCCAGTACGGCACGATCCTCAGCCGTTTAGCAATCACAGTCACCTCAGTTACTAGGGGATCGGTGCAATGTTGCTATTTGATAGGTATAATTACACTCCCCACAATAATGCTAGCTGTGCCCTGGGATAAAGAATCTTTCATTAAGGACATGTAACGAGGGAGTGTGTAAAGCATCCAACTAAGTGAAAATAAACTGCTCTACGGGCAAGTCAGTGAACTGCACACGGAAGCCTCTGAAGTGGGGAGGAGTCGAGGGAGAGGATGAGATTTCAAGAAACAAATTGAAAAAGTGCTAAGTGGAGAACCCCCAAGCTGAGCTTAGTGATAACAGACCTCATGTAGAAGTGAAAAGATGCCCATTACAAGGGAAAGATTAGAAGCCAGCAGAAGCAGAATGAGGATGTGAGAGCTCGCTGAATTAAGGAAGTTGCTTGGTAAATCAATAGGTAATGTGAAAGCTGCCTGTAGGTTATATTCAGTCTCACCATGCAGCTTCACGAGTGCAGCAATGTATACTATTTTTATACCACCCCTCATAACTCTTATACCCATTTTATAAGAGGATCTTAAACTCCATAACGACATTCTAACTGGTATCTTTACCTCTAAATCTTTGACTCTTCATCTTTCATAGTCTAAAGATTTGTCCTCCCAAATAATAGGTTTAATCTTCAGCTAATCAAAAAGCTTGAATGGTTCCTGACTAATGTCAAAATAAGTCTCGAAGGCCTTAGCATGATTATCAAGGCCGCTGTGATGACTTCAATCTACCTTTCCAGTCTCATCCCGTCATGAACTCTATACTCTATTCATATGCTAAAACATTATTCACTTTTATGTTTCTATGCTTCTGCTCATTCTACTTCAACTTCCCTCTCTCTCTATTTAAACCTTACTTATCCTTTAAGGTTCATCTCAAATGTCACATCCTCTGTGAAGATTTGCTAGACACCTCCAGCCAAAAGTAATTATCTTTCCCTCTCTGCTGATAGCACTTTCTTTGTATTGCATGGCATTTTTACTCTGCCTTGAACTGCATTCATGGCTTTTGTTAACTCAGTACCTATTACATGCCAGGCAATACAGTGTTTTACAGCCATTATTTTTGAGTCAAGAATCCTAGAATATAGGTTGAATATTATGCCTGTTTTATGATGGGGGAAACCGCGGTTCAGGGAAGTTAAGTAATTTTACCTAAGGTCACAGAGTTGGTAGGTGGTAAAATCAGAATTCAAATCAAAGTTCGTCTAACACCAAAATCTCTATTCTTTTTATTATATCATGTTATCTTGCACATAAGTTTGTCTCCCATTCTAGTCCACACACACTTGGAAGAGAAGGGATCAGATTTTATTCCTCTCTGTAGCTCCTTCTCCAAATACCTAACACACCACAAATACTTCATACTTGTGCCCTGGAATAAAGAATCTTTCATTAAGGACACGTAATGGGGGAGCGTGTGAATCAGCCAACTAAGTGAAAGTAAATCGTACTACATGCAACTCAGTGAACTGCACCCAGAAACCACTGAACCAGAACTTGTATATTTAATATGAAGTAAAAGGGTAAAGTAATAATAAAGTTGCTCCAACTTTGTTGGAGAATGGCAGAGAGAGCAATGTTTATCAAACACCTAAATACTGTACATTTCCAGCCTCCCTTGCAGATAGATCGGGGTCATGTGATTATTTCTGGCTAATGAGCTGTAAATGGAAATAACTTGTATCAATTCTAGTCAGAGGGGCTGGCCTGGTGGCACAGTGGTTAAGTTCACATGTTCTGCTTCAGTGGCCCAGGGTTCGCCGGTTCCGATCCTGGGTGTGGACATGGCAGCGCTTGGCAAGCCATGCTGTGGCAGGCATCCCACATATAAAGCAGAGGAAGATGGGCACAGATGTTAGCTCAGGGCCAGTCTTCCTCAGCAAAAAGAGGAGGATTGGCAGCAGATGTTAGCTCAGCACTAATCTTCCTCAAAAAAAAAAACCAAAAAAAATTCTAGTCAGAGCCAGTTAAGAGTGGGTATAAATTCTTTTTTCCCCTGCTATGGCAATCTTAAAATCTACATGCTGAGATGACATCCCAAGATGATGAACCTTCTCCCTATGTCTACCCCCTCCCACATTTGCCTGCAAACCATTTTGGAAATATTGTAACAGTAAGAACAAAACAAAACAAAACATATACACACAACACAAATAATATCATTTATTGTGTTAAGCCAATGAGAATTCAGGGTGTTACCTCAGCATAGCAATCTGAATAATACACCCCAGTACTGATACTACTCAATTTTCTCAATTCAACTGGAGAGAAAACACCATGTCTTTAAAAAAAGTAGCAGCCAAGTGGAAAATTAAAGATATTCAAGGGCCACAAGGTGGTGCTATTTCTATAAGAATCCTATAACTTTTTAGTTAAATGCTTTTTGCAGCAAATTAAAAGCTAGCAAAATGGATTCCTTCCTTCTTATGGTGTGATATATGGCATCACCGAGCTAGTCTCTTATTTCCAAGGAAAACAACCATATGTACAATTGCCTCTGCACAGTTTCAGAATGAAAATCATGCAGTTCCTGAAAGAACAGCATTCATAAGCCAGTCAAGGTTACTCTAAACCAATCTACAAAAAGCACAAAATTCTTCTCACTGACACCTTTCTGCAGTTTCAATTCAGGTCTTTCTTATCTGCTATTAAGGAAGAAATTTCAGCCTTTAATGTAATTATGTGAGGGCAGAATCCATCCCTCTGTTGATCCTTGCTTTTATTTTCATTTTATAATTATGGGTTATTTTATGTACATAAGTTTATCATGAACCCCTGGAAAAAAGATAAATCCTATGGGAGGAAGGGCTCCTTTTCTAGACAATCTAATCTATAATTAAATGATCAGATGGAAGTGACTAAGCCCTCTGGCTCACTTCTCATCCTTCAGGACTAACTCTGAGAGGATTTCCTCTGGATCCTACTTAATCCAGGTTAGGTGCTCCTCCTGGGTGCTGTAACAGTACCATACTATAACGACTATTTATTCATGATTGCACTACTGGACCTTGAGGTCCTGGAGAACGTGGACCATAACGCGCACTATTGTGAGCACAGTGGTTAAGGCCACATGCTTTGAAGTCAGAAAGATCCGGCATCTAGTGTGGGCTCTACAACTTCCTAATGTGTTGCTTTAGGCAGGTTACTTAGCCGTTCTAATCCTCAGTTTCTGAATTTGTGAAACAAAGATATTATCTACTTCAGGAGTTGGTCATGAGGATTAAAAGAAATAAAGCACTTAGCACAGTGCCTGGCACATAATGAATACCCAACAATTAGTAACCATTACTAGTAAAACGAGTCATCTTAGATACCTGAGTACCTGCCATATGGAAGGTACTGAAGGTATTTGCTAAAATACATGAAAGAACGAAGTAAAGCAACAGAATGGTCTTTTTTAATATATGATTTTATTATTTTATTAACCTATCAGATAGACGTTAAAGGTCTAAACTGGCAACTTATTTTTATTTTATTTATTTATTTGTTTTTATTTATTTATGTATTTATTTTTTAAAAGATTTTATTTTTTTCCTTTCTCTCCCCAAAGCCCCCCGGTACATAGTTGTATATTCTTCATTGTGGGTCCTTCTAGTTGTGGCATGTGGGACGCTGCCTCAGCGTGGCCTGATGAGCAGTGCCATGTCTGTGCCCAGGATATGAACCAACAAAACAGTGGGCCGCCTGCAGCGGAGCACGCGAACTTAACCACTCAACCACAGGGCCAGCTCCTATTTTTCTTTTAAATAATTCATGAAGGGAGGATAATCAGTAATCCAACTAGAGAATAATAAAAGTTAATATAGATAATGGCAATCAAGCTTATCTATTTTTTTAAAATGTTAATTCTCCTAGGGCTGGTAAATTCTCAAGCACAACTATTCTACTGAGACCTATTATTTGAAGATTTTTAGGGCAGCTGGGGGTCAAGTTTATGGGCAGAAGAATGGAATTGTGACTGTTCTTTTGAGTGTAAACTTGTAAATTAACACACTAGTCAGCTGAAGCTCTCCAGAGAGTTTTACTCTGGATACAATGAATCCATCTAAAAACAAGAAAGCCACCTAAAGACAGTTTGCACAAAGCATTCAGGTCAGTTAGGACTCACCTTATGGACCCTGGAGATAAGCCTTGTCATTCCTTTCAGCATTGTCCTGCACTCTCAAAAGAAGTGAAAAGGCAAGCCAGAACTGGGAAAAGATATTTGCACAATGGATTAGTATCTAGACTAAATAAAGAATACCTACAAATTGATAAAAAAATGAGAAGACACAAACAGACATTTCACAGAAAAGGAAATACAAATGGCTAGTAAACCCAAGAAAAGATTTTCATCCTCATTACAAATCAAGGAAATGTAAACTAAAACCTCCACAATGAGATACCATTCACAACCATATTGGGAAAAATGAAAAAGTCAGAAAATAGCAAACATTAAAGAGGCTATGAAGTGTTGGGAACTTTCACACACTGTCAATGGGAGTGTAAATACAAATTTGGCATTATCTTGTAAAGTTGAAAATGTACAAGTCTATGACCCAAGTATTCTACTCCTTGGTATTTATTCTAGAAAATCACTCATAAATGTACACTGGGAAATACATATAACAATGTTCACAGTTGTAGAGAATGAATTATTAAAAACTGTAAAAACACCACTAGCCTAGTGGTGTAGAGGTTAGGTTTGTGCACTCTGCTTTCGTGGCCCAGGGTTTGCCAGTTCAGATCCTGGGCACAGACCTGCACACGGTTCATCAAGCCATGCTGTGGCAGTGTCCCACATACAAAATAGAGGAAGATGGGCACAGATGTTAGCTCAGAGACTATCTTCCTCAAGCAAAAAGAGAAGGTTGGCAACAGATGTTAGCTCAGGTGCCAATCTTTGAAAAAAAAAAAGAAAAAGGGAGTGACGTGAGCAACATGGTGGAGTGAGCCCGCAGGGGACTCTCTCCCCTCCAAATTACAACCAAAAGGAGCAACTACTTTCCAATCAAAAACTCCTAATAACAGAGATCATCAGAGACCCACAGCAGCCGAATGACAGAGGGCGGAGAGGCCGGAGCCGCCCTTGGAGTAGCTGGAACTGGGTAAGAGATCTTCACTCCCTCCCCTAGAGACTGGGATTGGTGCCGCGGGTGAGGGAAGGAGCGGGGGAGGGGCTGCACGTCTGGGAGATCATCCAGGACTCCCACAGACAAGTGTAGCAGAAATCCTTTAATGGGGGAAAGCTTTCACGTGGGGGAACCCCATCAAGCCAAGGCCCCAGGAAACCAGAAAGCGAGAGCTGATCGGAATCCAGGTCTCCACATGAGAGAAAGTGCCTCTCCTCCCCAACCCATGCTGTGCGCCGCCATCAGTGCTGAAGGTGGAGGGCTCAGAATGCGCTGTTCTCGACCCCCATCTAGCGGCGACAGGCTCTAACTGCAACCAAATAGTAGCATTATGTGCAAAAACTACTCCTTTACCATCCAGCAATTTATAAAAGCTCCAGACCAAAAGGAAAACAAAAAATCACAGAATTACGTCCTGAGGACTTGGAAATAGGTAAACTAAGTTAAAATGAATTCAGAATAGCTATCATCAAAAAACTCAACGCGGTAAAGGGAAATATAGAGAAACAAGTCAACAAGTTCTGGAATTACTTCACAAAAGAGATTGAACTATAAAGAAGAATCAATCAGAAATACTAGAGAAGAAAAATACAATGGATAAGATAAAACAGAATACAGATTCCTGGAATGCCCATGCAGACACCATAGAGGAGAAAATTAGCATAATCAATGATAGACAGGTTGAATGGCTCCAGACAGAGGAAGAAAGAGAACTAAGAATTAAAAAAACTGAAGAAAATCTCCGAGAAATAGCAGACTCAATGAGAAAATGCAACTTAAGAATCATCGGAATTCCTGAGGGCGTGGAAAAGGAAAATGGAGCAGAAAGTGTGCTCAACGACATAATAGCAGAGAACTTCCCAAATCTAGGGATTGAGAGAGAAATGTGTGTGGAGGAAGGTTTCAGATCTCCTAGATTTGTCAATGTAAAAAGACCTACTGCAAGACATATAGTAGTAAAAATGGCAAAAATGAATGACAAAGAAAGAATACTCAGGGCAGCAAGGCAGAAGAAAATAACCTACAAAGGAACCCCATCAGACTTTCAGCGGATTTCTCTACAGAAACCGTATAAGCTAGGAGAGATTGGAATGACATATTCAAAACCTTAAAGGATAAAAATCTTCAGCCAAGAATACTCTATCCAGAAAAAATTTCCTTCAGATACAAGGGAGAAATTAAATCTTTTCCAGACAAACAAAAGCTAAGGGAATTTGTAGCCACAAGACCTCTACTACAAGAAATCCTCAAGAAGGCCCTCACACCTGAAAAAAGAAAAAAAGGGAGAAAGGTGTCACAAAACACAGAGTAGGGAGACAAATAGAATCAGAACAAGATAGCAAATATTCAACTATAGCATTAGGAGAAAGGGAAGGAAATCACTAAAGCAAAGACAATCCTATCACTCTAAGCACAAACTCACAACACAAGTTGGAATAAGAGATGAAAATAATAATTTTGGACGGGAGGAGGAAAGGGACTGAATCAGTTTAGGCTAAGGAAGTAAGAGACCACCAGAAAATGGACTATGTTATGCACGAGATTCTGAATACAAACTTCAGGGTAGCCACTAAACTGAAAAACAGAACAGAGACACAAAACATAAATAAGGAAAGTTCTAGGAAACCCAGCATAAGAAATTGCAGAAGTCAATGGGTAGCTAAAACACACAGGATGAGAAACAAAGGAAACACAGGAAAACCAGAAAACGAGCAACAGAAGGACAGCATTAAGCCCTCATGCATCAATAATCACCCTCAATGTAAACGGATTGAACTCTCCAATAAAAAGACACAAGAGTGGCAAAATGGATTAAAGAACAAGATCCAACAAATTTGTTGCCTCCAGGAAACACACCTCAGCTCCAAGGACAAACACAGGCTCAGAGTGAAGGGGTGGAAGACAATACTCCAAGCTGATGGCAAACAAAAGAAAGCAGGTGTCACAATACTTATATCAGACAAAACAGATTCAAGATAAGGCAGGTAAAGAGAGACATAGAGGGCCAATATATAATGATCAAAGGGACACTTCATCAAGAAGAAGTAACGCTTATAAATATCTATGCACCCAACACAAGAGCACCAAAGTTCATAAAGCAACTATTAACAAACCTAAAAGAAGATACCAAAAATAACACAATAATAGTAGGGGACCTCAACACCCCACTCACATCAATGGACAGATCATCCAGACAGAAAATCAACAAGGAAACAGTGGAGCTAAACGAAAAGATAAAACAGTTGGCCTTAATAGACATATATAGAGTGCTTCATCCAAAAAAAGCAGAATACACATTCTTCTCAAGTGTGCATGGAACATTCTCAAGGGTAGACCATACGTTGGGAAACAAGGCAAGCCTCTACAAATTTAAAAAAATTGAAATAATAAAAAGCATCTTCTCCAATCATAACGCTATGAAGCTAGAAATTAATTACAAGAAAAAAGCTGAGAAAGGCATAAAGATGTAGAGACTAAACAATATGCTATTAAACAAGCAATGGATCACGGAAAAAATTAAAGAAGAAATAAAAAAAATACCTGGAGACAAATGAAAATGATAACATGCCATACCAACTCATATGGGATACAGCAAAAGCTGTATTAAGAAGAAAATTCATCGCAATACAGGCACATCTTAACAAACAAGAAAAATCCCAAATAGGCAATCTTAAACTACACCTAACTGAACTAGAGAAAGAAGAACAAACAAAGCCCAAAGTCAGCAGAAGGAGAGAAATAATAAAAATCAGAGCAGAAATAAATGCTATTGAAACAAAAAAGGCAGTAGAAAGGATCAATGAAACAAAGAGCTGGTTCTTTGAGAAGATAAATAAAATTGACAAACCCCTAGCCAGACTTACAAAGAAAAAAAGAAAGCTCAAATAAAAAAAAATCAGAAATGAAAGAAGAGAAATAACAACAGACTCTGCAGAAACACAATGGATTATAAGAGAATAATATGAAAAACTATATGCCAACAAAATGGATAACCTAGAGGAAATGGATAAATTCTTTGACTCCTACAATCTCCTAAAGCTTAGTCAAGAAGCAGCAGACAATGTGAACAGACCAAGCACAAGGAAAGAGACTGAAACAGCAATCAAAAGCATCTCAAAGAATAAAACCCCAGGACCAGATGGCTTTCCTGGGGAATTCTACCAAACTTTCAGAGAGGATTTAATACCTATCCTTTTCAAGCTATTCCAAAAAATTAGGGAGGACGGAACACTTCCTAACACATTCTATGAGGCCAACATCACACTGATACCAAAGCCTGACAAGGACAGCACAAAAAAGTACAGGCCAATATCAGTGATGAACATAGATGCAAAAATTCTCAACAAAATTTTGGCAACCCGAATACAGCAATTCATCAAAAGGATCATACATCATGATCAAGTGGGATTCATACCAGGGACACAGGGATGGTTCAACATCTGCAAATCAATCAACGTGATACACCACATCAACAAACTGAGGAATAAAAACCACATGATCATCTCAATAGATGCAGAGAAAGCATTTGACAAGATCCAACAGCCATTTATGATAAAAAAAAACTCTGAACAAAATGCGCATAGAAAGGAACTACCTCAACATAATAAAGGCCATATATGACAAACCCACAGCCAACATACTCAATGGGCAAAAACTGAGCGCCATCCCCCTGAAAATAGGAACGAGACAAGGATGCCCTCTATCACCACTCTTATTTAACATAGTACTGGAGGTCCTGGCCAGAGCAATCAGGTAAGAAAAAGGAATAAAAGGAATCCAAATAGGGAGGGAAGAAGTGAAACTCTCGCTGTTTGCAGACGACATGATCTTATATATAGAAAACCCCAAAGAATCCACTGGAAAACTCTTAGACGTAATCAACAACTACAGCAAAGTTGCAGGGTATAAAATCAATTTGCATAAATCAGTAGCATTTCTATATTCTAACAACGAACTAACAGAAAAAGAACTCAAGAACACAATACCATTCACAATCGCAACAAAAAGAATAAAATACCTTGGGGTAAATTTAACTAAGGAAGTGAAGGACCTATATAATGAAAATTACAAGGCCTTTC